CTTACGAAAATCCACGAATAACACAGTCTATGCAACCTTCAAACTTATGCCCTATGTAACTTGAATTAGTGCTGTCTAAAGTATGCAATACAGACCTACACATCAGAAGACTACTTTTTCCCAAAGAAAAATCACATTTATATTATTTTTAATTTTGTTGATTCCTTAATCCCTTGCTTTCTTAATCCTAACTTTCTCCAGCCCAAACAGATAATCTAAAGAAGGCCTGTACAGATAGTGAATAACATGGACTTGAGAGATACTTCAAATCTGGGCTTACTCATCTATTAATATATCATATGTTCAACCTATAATTTCTTTATCTGGAAAATAAGGAAAGAAAACTCTATCTTAGAAGATTATTTTGCATACTAAATGATTTAATATGATTTAATCCTGTAAGCCCTCAGCATTGCACTTGGCAGACAGTAAAACTTCAAATGTGATACAACTATAAGGATAATGCTAAAGGAGGAAAGAGAACACATGAAGTTATTTTCCCTATTTCTTAGGAATTTATGGTTCAAATTAAAGTTCGTCCAAGTCTTGCTCTCACCTTGAGGATATCTACAATACTTCAAGACTAAAAAGTATGCAAAATTCAGGATACATACCTACTGGACACATAAAGTCCAATTTGGAGTGTTTGGTTATTTCTCAATAGTTCTATCCGGAGGAAACTGATAAAGAAGTAAAAAAATTAGGGCCGGCCGAGTGGCTCAGTTGGTTAAGAGCTCGCTCAAGAGTGTGAGCTCTGAGCAACAGCGGTTCGAGTCCCAGCATGAGCTGAGCTGCCAACAGGTGGCAGGATGGCTTAGCTAAGAAAAAAAAGAAGTAAAAAAATTATATTCCTGAGGTAGGATGTCCCATCATTGAAAGAGCATGGCACTGGGATTCAAAAGGCTGGGCAGGGTTCTAGTTCTGTTTTTTCCTTTAACTGGATGAATAACTTGAGCAAGTCATTTCCCTCCTCCAGGCAATATAGTCTCAATCTAGATCTTCTAGACTAAACTCCAATAAGTTAGTCTAGAAGATCTCCAAAAACTCTTAAGAATTAGCATTCTACCTTTTTGGAGGGAAGAGAAAAAGGGTGTGGCATAAACACCAATGTAGTATAAATTGGTACCTCCAGTGTTCTGGGCTTTTAAGTATGCAGTGGCAAGACTCCAAGGAAAAGATGGACCTTCTAGTCACTACATTTGTTATCCTCCTCTTGATGTCCTTCATTCTTCCCACCCCGTCTTTTCTATCGGATAACTCATAACTTCACCCCAACTTCTCAATACAAAGCTGATCTCTATCACTAAGAAATAGAAGTGGCCTGACTGAAATCCAATAATTGAAATATTTATATCCAGTCTCAAGGAAATCCAAGCTTACCATTCTCTTAAGATAATTACTTCAAAACAAGGGAGGCAAAAGCAGAACAGGAGGAGAGGAGCACGTTTGAGAGTTTTAGTGGCAAGGTCATATTTTTCTGGTTCAAGCAGAACAAAAGAAATTTATAATTCATATTACCCCAAACTAAATTCAAAATGATGAGTGACACAAAGATTAAATAGAAACTATTTAGAGATGGAGGTGAACAGATTATGGAAGAAAGTGATCTCTCCAGGTCAAGGTCATTCACATTTAATACATTAAGTATGTGCATATAATCAATAAGTAGAAGAATATGAAAGACCATGAAATATTAAAATGATCTTATAAGATCACAATGGTTCTTCTTGATTTTTATTACGAAAGTCTGAAAAGAAAATTATCATGAGTTAAGCATAGGACTAGCAAAGGGCTATCAATTATATACCACCCACTAGTAATTAGTTCAAGGAATAATAAGTGTTTCAGTCAGATCAGTGAAAATCATTTCAGGATTTCTGGTAAAATATTAGAAAAGAAAATCTTCTTCTTATTGGACTTGAAGCTAGAGTTTACCACATGGAGAGAACTGCCAACCTTTCTAAAACCAATATACTTAGGGCCGGCCTGGTGGCTTAGTTGGTTAGAGCTTCAGCTCTGAGCAACAGGGTTGCCGGTTCAATTCCCACATGGGTCAGGGAGCTGCGCCCGAGCTGAGATGCCGCTGAGCTGCCAACAGGCAGCTGGATGGCTCAGCTGGTGAGAGCATGTGCTCTTAACAACAAGGTCGCCGGTTTGACTCCCACATGAGATGGTGGGCTGCGCCCTCTTGCAACTAGACTGAAAGTGGCAACTGGACTTGGAGCTGAACTTGCACCCTTCACAACTAAGATTGAAGGACAACAACTTGACTTGGAGCTGATGGGTCCTGGAAAAACACAATGTTCTCCTTTCCCAATTTCCCCCACACTGTTTCCTTCCCCAACTCCCCAGTAAAATCTTAAAACAAAGCAAAAAAAACAATATGCTTGAAGCATGGTCTTCTCCCTATGGCTTTCAATTATGAGTACTATACATGAGGTGTGATTAAAAAAAATGTGGTGAATGTTTAAATTTTTAAAAATGTATTACAATAAAAGACACATTGCTATTAACCCCCCTCAAAATACTCTGCCTCACTTCAAACACACTTATCCCATCGTTCTTGACACTTTTTGAAGCAGTTATGCAAGTCCTCTTTCGTGAATGTCTTTCATTGCACTGTCATGGCTGCCTCAATGTCCTGAATCATTTTGACATTGAGAAACAGCCAGAAGTCACACCGTGCCAGATAGGGTAAATGAGGTGGATGAGGACACACTGTAACGTTTTGATTTGACATAAATCGCTGTACCAGAAATGATGTGTGACACGGAGTCTTTCTGTTGTGATCAAGAAATATGGTGAATGCTGCTGCCAGGTGTCCTCCAACGGAAAGACAGGGATCTTTAAAATGAGCAGCAGTGCATTGAACCTTAGTAACAGTGTGTGACAAGTTTCAACTTGTTCGGTGCAATCAGTTGGGTGTGAGCTACACTTGAGAGGTGTGTTTTGAAGTATGCCTTAAGTCATCCTCCATCATGACAATGTTCCGTGTCACACATCGCTTCTGGTACAGCAATTTCTGTCAAATCAAAACATTACAGTGTGTCTTCATCTACTTTATTCACCGGTTCAGGCACTCTGTGATTTCTGGCTCTTCCCCAAAGTCAAAATCATTCAGGATATCGAGGCAGCCATGACAGCGCAACTAAAGACATTCACAAAAGAGGACTTTCAGAACTGCTTCAGAAAGTAGCAAGAAACATGGGGTAATTGTGTTCAAAGTGAGGGGGGATACTTTGAGCAGGATTACTGGCAATGTGTCTTTTACTGTAATAAATTTTTTTATATAAACATTCACTATATTGTTTGATCATACCTCATAATATTCTAATACAAGAATGTGAGAGAAGACAGTTGCTAAACTATAACTGGGAAAGATTTTAAGTTAATAAATAAGAATTGAAAAGTCTTCCAATTGAGAACATACTAGTTCAGTGTTCCATCAAGCATTTTAGTTCTGTCTTACATTCTAACATAAGCAAAGATAACCTATGAGTCTATTAAAATACATATACAAGTATCACTCTGGAGAGACTACTGTTTAAATTATTTATTTTTATTTTTCAATTAGTTGACATTCAATATTATATTAGTTTTAGGTGTACAGTATAGTAGTTAGACATTTATATAACTTACAGTGTGATTCCCCTATAAGTCTAGTACCTACCTGGCACCACACAGTTATTACAGTATTACTGACTATATTTCCCAATCCTGTACTTTACATCCCCATGACTATTTTTAACTGCCAATTTGTACCTCTTAATCTCTTCACCCCTTTCACCCAGACTTCCCAAGCCCATTCCCTTCTAGCAATCATCAGTTTGTTCTGTGTATCTATGAGTTTATTTCTGTTGTTTATTTTGCTTTTTAGGTTCCACATATAAGTGAAATCATACAGCATTTGCCTTTTTCTATCTATTATTATTTCACATAGCATAATACCCCCTAGGTTCATCCATGTTGTTGCAAATGGCAAGATTTAATCCTTTTTATGGTCAAGTAATATTCCAGTGTGTGTGTGTGTGTGTGTGTGTGTGTGTGTGTGTGTGTGTGACATCTTCTTTATCCAATCGTCCATCAATGGACACTCAGATTGCTTCCATATCTTCGCTACTATATATGAAACGTCCTTCTTTGGAGAGATGACTATTAATAGTAGATTTAGAATTGGGCCAGTCGAGTGGCTCAGTTGGTTAAGAGCTCACTCAAAAGTTTGAGTACTGAGCAATAGTGGTTCGAGTCCAGCCCAAGAGCTGCCGCTGAGCTGCCAACAGGTGGCAGGATGGCTCAGCTAAAAAAAAAAAAAAAGAATAGATGACCATGTCCACCCACCACTTGCTCCACTCCAGGTGGGAGAGGCAACCAGGAAGAAACCATGAAAATAAACCACTGTCTCATAGGAGAAGGAACTTTTCATGGTGTATAAAATATTTCAAATATCAAAAAATTTGTTAAGAAACAAGAGTTTCAGTCACTTGCTTGTGGTAGCAATTTCTGAACTGCATGTTACAACTCATTACAAAGGTCCTGCATCAACTTAATAAAACTAGGATTATGGTAAAACTAAGAGAGAATGCAGAGTGTATCACACATACTAAGGTTAGTGTTGTTTATGAAATACTAGTTTCTGGTGTGTGAGTGTGTGTGTATTGGAAGATGATGTAAGATGTATTTCTTACTATGGGTTGCAGTTACAAAAATTTGAAAGCCACTCGCTTAGGTATAGCAAGAAAAAGTTCTAATACAGCACACTCCAAGTCAGATCTTCAAGAATAAATCTTCTATTGAACTATGAAAAGCTCTATGGGGAGGAATCATTAGACCTTGTAAGAATGGACTCATCTTTTAGAACAATTTCTGAGACCTAGAGGAACCAGGAGAAAAATAAGGTCATGAAAATAGTAATGATCAACTTCATATATTTTAATGTAAAAATACTTTTAATTGGCATGTTTTTTTTTACCCAGAATCTCTGATGTCAGTGCAAGCCTTACCTGAAAGTGTCTTTTGGTAAGAAACACATTGATGTCTCCACAAAGAAATGGCAGATCTCTCTCGATTCTGCAGTCCATTTAGTCTTTCTGCTAGCCCGCCTCTGTTTAATGAATTATAATGTATTAGTTTAGTTAAAAGTTTCAGAATAGTTGCAACATTTATATTTTATACCTTCCAACCAGAGACAAATAGATAAAACATGCAAATTTTAACTTATTTCACATTATATTCTCTTCCTAGAGGTTCAATCCTCCTAGATAAGCAATCTACTTTTTAAAGGTTTCTTGGAAGCCCAGTTTTCTGATTCTTTGAAATATGGGTAACTTTCAGATCAATCTGACTTCATCCCTATTCCTTCTTAGTTTACTTTATTCCATAAACATGTACGGATCATTTCCTGTTCTACTTAGCAAAATGCTAGGTGCCAGGGATATAAAAAAGGCAATGAGCTACATCACTGGGGGAATGGCTCAAAATCTGCTCTGCAGACAGTGGGCAAACAATTAAATGTAAAGTGGGCTCAGAGTTGTAGTCAATAATAAAATTTTCATACTGCTCATAGGTAAAACACTTCTATAAGAGGATTTAGGTATAAGCTCATCATTAGGACCACAGAGATAATTGAGTATTAATCAGAAACACACAACAAGGATACCAACATCACAAAAACAGGAAAATTTCCATTTATGGCAGGGAGATGATTCATAACAATGCACATATAGGCACTTCACAAAAGCCCAATCAATATATATTCATTGGTATATGTTATTAATATATAAAAATATAAATATAAATATAAATTTTATATATATATATATGTTTTGATTCAATAAACTACCTGGGTTCAGAGAAGTCAGCAGTTTCTAACTATGATCTCAAGAGAAATCAAGATTAGTTAATTACCATTATGACTACATGCTACATAATTTATCAATATATTATCTCATGTGATTATGAACCAGTTCACTGATCATCTCACAATATTATCTCATTTTATTCTAATATTATTCCTTTGAGGTAAAAAAAATAAAACAGATATCAATACCCACCTCCTACATGATAAAAATCAAAGCTTAGAGAGAGGTTTACGAAATTCTCTGATATTACATAACTAGCCAGATGAGGAAATAGTTGTTGAAACCAGAAAAAACTTAGCACAGTGCCTGGCATTCAAAAAATGTTTGTCACTGATTTTACTGATTTTTTTTTAATGATTTTTACTTGTACCCTATAATCTTTCCACAATCATTGAAAGGTTTTATTTTAATACATATTATATAATTACCAGTACTACCTACTTGGTTTTCCTACAGGCACTTGTTTTCCTATAAGCACTAATTATTCTGAATCTGTGTGTGTGCATGTGTGTGTGTGCATGCGCGTGATGCATGCAATATATATAACACCAAATTTTTAAAAATTCTCATATTCACAAATATACCAAAGAACCTCTACTTTACATATATGTCTACCTCTACTTAATATAGGTCTGACATTTAAGTTCATGAACTTGTTGCAACGATGTTGCTAACCTTTTTTGATATCAGAGGGACTATTCATTATGAATTTGTACCAACTGGACAAACAGTTAATCAAGTTTACTATTTAGAAGTGCTGAAAAGACTGCATAAAAGTTAGCCGAACTGAACTTTTTGCCAACAATTTATGGCTCTTGCATCATGACAATGCACCAGCTCACATGGCACTGTCTGTGAGGGAGTTTTTAGCCAGTAAACAAATAACTGTATTGGAACACCCTCCCTGCTTACCTGGTCTGGCCCCCGTGACTTCTTTCTTTACCTGAAGATAAAGGAAATATTGAAAAGACATTTTGATGACATTCAGGACATCAAGGGTAATATGATGACCGCTATGATGGCTATTCCAGAAAAAAGAGTTCCAAAAGTGCTTTGAAGGGTGGACTAGGTACTGGCGTTGGTGCACAGCTTCCCAAAGGGAGTACTTTGAAGGTGGCCATAGTGATATTCAGCAATTGGTATGCAGCACTTTTTCTAGGATGAGTTCATGAACTTAATTGTCCGACCTTATATGTGAACTCTATCATTCTGTTTACATGAGATAACTTGTTTATACTCCCCCTCTGACAACACTATGAAAGTAGATACTACTATCATCCTCATTTCACAAATGATAAACTGAGGCACTGAGACATTAAACACCTGTACAAAGTGAGACATCTGATGAGGAACATAGCTGGATGCACACCCAGGTAGTCTGGCTTCAGATTTCATAAGCTTAGCCTCAATGGTATCCCTACTGTCTGTTAAAGAGCACTACTTAAAAAGATACTTATAATCAAAAAAGCAAAATACTGTATTCTTTCCACAATGCTGTAGATAATTATTTGTCAAATGTTGGTTTTTCAATTCTATGACTTTAGAGAGCAGAAAAAAAAGACAAAATACAATCTAAAAAGATATGGTTAAGGTCAAGTCTAAAATCTCACAAGTAAACTGTAGGAATTATAGGACGAAAGGTAAAAAAGCAAGAGTAAAAATGAATAAAGAACAGCTCTCTACACGTGGGAGTATCTGGTGCCTTACGACAGAATCAGCATTTCAACACTTGGTTTTATTATTATGAGCTAAACTGATGCCTCCATAATACCTCTGCTCCAATTTGATCAGAGAATTCCTGCAGGAAATTCTGATCAGATACACCAGAACTTAGGAATGTAAAGACCATGATCTCTAATCAACAACCATAATTGTAGTAAAAATCTGTCTGCATTAAAAAAAGTTATACAAAGGGTCAGGAAGACCCTGCTTGCATACATACAAACTAACATTTTCTTTTTTTCCTTTTTTGGGGTCACTTTTATTGAGATATAACTGACAAAGTTAAAATAGTAAGAATGTGAAGTTTCCATCATTATGATTTAATATATGTATACATTGTAAAATGATTTCCACATCTAGTTAATTAACACATCTATCACCTTACTCTTTTATCTGTTTTTTCTTGTGTAAGAACATTTCAGTTCTATCTCCTTGTCAAATTTCAATTATATAACAGTGTTATCAAAAATAGTCACTATGTTTTATATTAGATCTTCAGAACTTATTCATCTTATAGCTGAAAGTTTGTACCTTTTTACCAAACTTTCCATATATACAATTAATTTCGTGAACTCATCCTAGAAAAAGTGCTAATACCTCATTGCTGAATATCACTATGGTCACCTTGGAAGTACTCCCCTTGGGAAGCTAGGCACCAAGACAAGTGCCTAGTCCACGCTTCAAAGCAATTTTGGAACTCTTTCTGGAATGGCCATCAGAACTGTTGTATTACCCTTGATATCCTGAATGTCATCAAAATGTCTTCCTTTCAATACCACCTTCACCTTCAGGTAAAGAAAGAAGTCACTGGGGGCCAGATCAGGTGACTAGGGAGGGTGTTCCAATACAGTTATTTGTTTACTGGCTAAAAACTCCCTCACAGATAGTGCTGTGTGAGCTGGTGCATTGTGGTGATGTAAAAGCCATGAATTGTTGGTGAAAAGTTCAGGTTGTTTTCGCATAACTTTTTCACGCAGTCTTTCCAGCACTTCCAAATAGTGAACTTGGTTAACTGTTTGTCCAGTTGGTACAAATTCATAATGAATAATCCCTCTGATATAAAAAAAAAAAGGTTAGCAACATCGTTGCAACAACTTCACAAACGTAATTGTCAGACATATGCAACACCCCCACCTCCACCCTGGCAATGACTTTTCTACTTTCTGCTTCTGTGTTTGACTTTTGGGGGGTTTGTTTTGAATTCCACTTAGAAGTCATACCATGCAGTACTTGTCTTTCTCTGTCTGGTTTATTTCACTTAGCATAATGCCTTCAAGGTCTATCCATGTTGTCAAAAATGGTAGAGGATTTCCTTTACATCATTGAATAATATTTCATTATATACATAATTTTCCATATATATAATATGGAAATAACATGTTCTTTATCCATTCATCTATTGGCTAAGGAGTAGATTGTTTTCATATCTTGACTATTGTGAATAATGCTGCAGTGAATATGGGAGTGCAAATATCTATTCAATACCCTGCTTTAATGTCCTACGGATGTATTCCCAGAACCAAGATTGCAGTATCATATGGTAGTTCTATTTTTAATTTTTTTAGAAACTTCTATACTGTTTTGCTTACTGGCTATACCAATTTATATTACCACCAACATTGTACATGGTTTCCTTATTTTTCACATCCTCACCACACTGTTATTTCTTGTCTTCTTGATGATAACCATTCTAACCGATGTGAGTTCATACATGATTGAAATTTTACTTGCATTACCCTAATGATTAGTGATGTTGAACTTCTGTTCATGTACCTGCTGAGCACTTGGATATCTTCCATAAAACAGGGTGTATTCAGTTCCTCTGCCCATTTTGAATATGATAAATTTGCTTTCTGCTATGGAGTTGTATGCGTTCATTATGTATTTTGGATATTAACCTCTTATCAAATATGTGATTTGTAAATACTTTCTCCCATTCAGTAGGTTGCCTTTTTCACATTGTTGATGGTTTCCTTTGTTGTGCAGCAGCTTTTTAACTTGATGTAGTCTTACTTGTTTACTTTTGCTTCCGATGTCTTCACTTTTGTTTTCAAATCCAGAAAATCAGTGCTAAGGCCCCATGTTAAGTAGCTTGACCCCTATATTTTTACCTAAAGGATTTATGGTGTCAGGTCTTACATTCAAGTCTTTAATACATTTTAAGTTGATTTCTGTGGATGGTGTAAAATGCAGGCCCAGTTTCATTCTTTTGCATATGGCTGTCCAGTTTTCTCAACACCGTTTATCAATAAGACTACATTTCTCCATTGTATATTCTTGACTCCTTTGTTGCAAAGTAACTGATGTATATTCAGGGGCTTATTTCCATATTTTCTCTATGTTCCATTGAAATATGTGTCTGTTTCTTATATCATACTGTTTTTATTACTTTTGCTTTGTAATTCAGTTTGAAATCAGAAAGTGTGATGCCTTCAGATTTGGTTTTTTCCCCAAGACTGCTTTGGCTATTTGGGGTCTTTTTGGTTCCATGAATTTTATAATTGTTTTTTTCTATATCTGCAAAAAATGCCATTGGAATTTTAATAGAGATTGCATTGAATCTATAGATGGCTTTGGGTAGTATGGACATTTTAATAACACCAATTCTTTGAATCCACAAGCACAAAATACCTTTCCATTTATTTTTGTTTTCCTTAATTTTTTCATCATGTCTTATACTTTTCAGTGTACAGGTCTTATACTTCCTTGGTTCAATTCATTCCTAAGTATTTTATTCTTTTTGATGCAATTATAAATGAGATTGTTTTCTTAATTTCTCTTTTGAAAAGTTTTCTATTAGTGTACAGAAACATAACTGATTTTTGTATGTTGATTTTGCATCCTGCAATTTTAGTGAGTTCATTTATTAGTTCTAACAGATTTTAGTGGAGTCTTTATGGTTTTCTATATATAATATCATGTCATTAGTAAACAGAAACAGCTTTACTTTTTCCTCACTGGTTTGAATGCCTTTTATTTATTTTTCTTGCCTTATTACTCTGGGTAGGATTTCAAGTACTATGTTGAATAGAAGAGATAAGAGTAGGTATCTTTGTCTTGTTCCTGATCATAGAGAAAAGGCTTTTAGCTTTTTAACCACTACATATGATTTCAGCTGTGGGTTTGTCATATGTGACCTTTTGATGTTGAGGTACATTCTCTCTATACACAGTTTGTTGAAATCTTTCATTACGAATGGATGTTGATATTTGTCAAAATCATTTTCTACATCTAGTGAATGTTCATGATTGTTTTCATGTTGTTAATCAGGTGTATCATGTTGATTGATTTGTATATATTAAACCATCCTTGCATCAATGGAACCAATTTCAATCAATTACAGTGTAGGATCCTTTTTTTGAATTTGGTTTTACTGAGGATTTTTCCATGTATGTTCATCAGGGATATTACATCATAATTTTCTTTTCTTGTAATCTTCTTCTCTGGTTTTGGTATAAGGATAATGCTAGCCTTGTTAAAATGTGTTTGGAAGTGTTCCCTCCTCTTTTACATTTGAAAGAGTTTGAGAAGGACTGGTATTAATCTTTCTTTATTGGTTAGGTAGAATTCACCAGTGAAGCCATCTGTTTCTGCACTTTCCTTGGATGTGAATTGTTTTAAGTATCGATTCAATCTCCTTACAAGTAATTGGTTTGTTCAGATTTTTGGTTTCTTCCTGATTCAGTCTTACTAAATTATGTGTTTCTAGGATTTATCTTTCTCTTCTAGGTTGTCCAACTTTTTAGTATATAAGTGTTCACAGTAGACTCTTATGATCTTTTATATTTGTCTAGTATCAGTTGTAATGACTTCTCTTTCACATCTAATTTTATTTACTTGATTTTTTTTTCTCCCCTTGGTATGACGAGCTCAAGTTTTGTCTATTCTGCTTATCTTTTAAAAAAACCCCAGCTCTTAATTTCAGTGATCATTTCTGTTTCTTTCTGGTCTCTGTATCAAATATTTCAGCTCCGATTTTTATTATTTCCTTTCTTCTACTAACTCTCGTCTTACTTTGTTCTTGTTTTTATGATTCTATCAGGTGTAAAGAGTTACATTGTTTATTTGAGGTCTTTCTTTTTTCTTAATGTAGGCATTTATGCCTATGAATTTTTTAGAGCTTAGAGCTTTTGCTGCATCCCATTAGTTTTGGTATGCTGTATTTCCATTTTCATTTCTATCAATTTTTTTGTTTTGTTTTGTTTTTTGTTTTGTTTGTCTTTGGATTTCTTCTTTGACCCATTGGTTGTCCAGGAGCATATTTTTTAAATCTTTGCATATTTGTGAATTTTCCATTTTTCTTCCTGTTATTAATTTTCTAGTTTCAAGCCAATGTGACCAGGAAAGATGGTTGATAAGATTTCAATCTAATTAAATTTAGTAAGACTTGTTTTGTGACCTAACATATGGGGTCTATCCTGAAAAAATGTTCCTTGTGTTCTTGAGAAGAATGTGTAATCTGCTATTATTGGATGGAATTATCTGTAAATGTCTGTGAGGTCCATCTGATGGAATGTGTCTAAGTCCCTGCACCATCTTCCTGCCTCATCTCAGGAAATGCCAACTTCATTTTTCCACCTGCTCAGTAAGTCACATTATAAAACATTACTGGATTCCCTGTTGAATACTGAAATGCCCTTCCCTACCTCTGAGCCATTCTCTATCCCTCTTCTGCTTTTTTTCTATTAAGTTTATCTCCTTTGACAATATTTCTACTCTACTTCTTGGCTCCTTGTCAGCCTGTCCCTTAACACAGACAGGGCTTTAGTTGCCTCTGTTCAGTTGCCTGTGTCTCCAGGATGTGAAACAGTAGACCATTAATAGGGTTGGGGATAAGACTTGCTGTAATTGCATGGAATTGACTTCAACAAGGACATTCAAATCATTTTATCTGGCTCCCTTTGCTGTTCTCTCCAGAGACTACTACAAACCATCACCATTCTCTTTTGAGGCTATAACATCTTAATTCTGGGCATAAGGCCTTCTCTCTCTCTCTCTCTCTCTCTCTCTCTCTCTCTCTCTCTCTCTCTCTCTCACACACACACACACACACACACGGTGAACAGACATGAAAACACACATGAATTGACTCACCATACTATGTCCATCCCACCAGATTCAGTCACATCCTTACACACTTCCCTCCATTTCAATGCTTCTTAAGATAAGCCTCTCCTTCTCAGCACTCCTCCCCGACTTCCTTTCTTGATCACTAACAGAGCAATTACCCCTAACCTCTCTGTCTCTGCTGGGTTCTCCCCATTATTCTCTAAATCTGTGTCACCTTTTCTGTGAAACCTCTTTAGGCACTGGATCCCTTTCAAGCCACTAACAACTAAGCTTCCCACCCTCCTTCCGGCCTCAAATCCCAGTTCCTAGCAGAGGAGTCAAGCACTGTCTCCAGTCCTTAAGTCTTGGGCACTCCTTGTCCCGGTTTCTTCCCCTAACATTGCCATTGGAGTCTCCTTGGTGTGCATTATCATACTTGCAATCCTGATGTAGACATATCCTAAACAGATCAAAAAATTATGCACTCCATTGCCACATTTATTCCTTCTACTGAAACTCCTTTCTCCTTGAAACACTGTACTAGGTTTACTTTTTGTGGCACTGTTTCCCAGAAATTCTCCTCACTTTCATTGGGCTTTTGGTTTCAATGTTTTGTTCTAATTTAAAACACAAAGAGACCATAAATTACACAGGTTTGGGACATGCCCCCGAATATGGCACACCCTACACTCCATCATACATCCTGTTGGGCCCTCCATGTACTGGCTGGTCCTTGTGGTTCTTACACACACACACAGCCAGTTTCTTGTCTGTGAGTCTTCGCTGTCTCATACATATTTGCATTTGCAAGTGTAACTCATAAAAGTAATCTCATTAGTGTATATTTATTTTTATTTCCCTCTTTAGACTATAAATTACTTAAAAAGAAGAAGAGTCATTTACTTGTCTTAAATGTCTAAGACAGCACCTGAAACATTGATGCTCAATAAAATTTGATAAACTCAAATAGACAATCTGCATTATCTGCATTAAGGAAGCAGTCACGTAAACTGGTTTTGACAGAAATAGTGAATCTTCAACTTGGATGAACAATTCTATCAATTGTCTCTAGAACTTAGGAGTTCCATAATTGCTTAAAGGAGTTATAATTCTATTCTCTTAATTTTCCTTCCCAAGTAAATAAGTAATCATATTTAAATTAACATTTTTAGGTATTTGGGTTTTTAAAGAAAGAGAAAAACTTAAAAAAAAAGTATTTAAAAAGTTGTAATATAACCTTAAAAGCTTCGTCTTCTTTGCTGAATTTTCAGGAGTCCTGGGAAACTTTGTCTGTTTCTGGGGTGAATACAAAATGGTCTCTGTAGATTTCACCCTTGTGTTTATCAGTCTCTCCATAGCCTGCCTTCCATCTGATCCAAAATCCATGTGGTATTTGTGACAGGATTCTGAATCAATGAACAAGCCATTCTCGGAGTCATCTTTGTTTTCACTATCTGATGAATACTCCAAAATTTCTGTAGAACTCGTCTGAAAAAATTAAGAGAAATGAAATTAAATTTGAAGAACTCTTTATTCAAGTCTATATTTACAAACACCTATTATACTATTCCCTTATGATTACAGTCATTGAAATAACTTCGCACATAAGTATTTACAGCTTAAACTTCTATTTTGGCACAAAGTCCAAAGTAATCAAGCCACATACCTAAAGACAACAAGAGATTAAAGCAATTATAAGCCAGAAATTATCTCATAGAATCCACCCAATTCAGTACAAATATTTCAGTCTTCCTTCAGTAAACTAAAATAAATGTGCCATACAATCAGTTTTGAAAACTGAACTAATAACATCAACCTGAATGGCTGATGACAGTCACTAGTGATAGTACTCTAACACCAATTGGAAAAATGTATATATCTTTTGGATTTTGAAATTTTATGTGAGGTATGATATTCACTACTTGTGGTAAACCAAATACAAAGAGAATTGTCTCCTCAGGTATAAACCACTTAATTTACCAAAGGAATCTCCAAAGACAGAGATGAAAACTTGACTTTCCAGCACAATTTCAATATAATATTTTCCAGCGACTAGTTTAAAATAGCTAATATTAGGAACTATATAAGAAAATGAGTCACTGCCTCTTTCTCTTAACATTTCCTAAAATGTTTCTTCTTTCTCCTACTCAAACTTCTGAACTACCAAAATAAGAATTTTTTTGAAAACTGGATTATAAATAAGATATCATGTCACATAGACTAACTATGGAGAGATGATCAAAACTTTCTTTTTTGGTGTTTTCTGTCTTTGTCCAGATTCACATGTTTATCTTAAGTGCGGTAGGTATTTTATTTTCCCATTACTTGGTTTTGCAAATCAGTCCCATGTTGTTCCAATGTCAGCAACAATTGTTCCTTCAAAATTTTAATTTTTCAGAGTATTAGTAGCCCCTTCTAATTTAATACCTATACTAAATTTTACATTTACTAAATGTAAATTGTATATTTAGTGGAATGGCTCTTCTGTACTTGGTCAATTCATAGTGTAGGTATGGGTCCCTCATGGAGCCCTGTCTATTTTCATGGATAAACATGGACTGTGTCCCTGACACTGTAGCAGGCACTTGGCTAAAGAGAATAAAGAGTCCACAAGTATATGAGGATTATTGTTTGTAGGTTCATGTGTAAGCAGATGCACTGGTGTCTGTGTGTGTGGAGGATTGCACTAGAGTTTTCATCATTTGCTAATTTACACGAGAAACAAAGTTTATCACATTTGGCCTTTTCTGAGGATTTTATAGTTACATCATTTTTAAGAGCTTAAAAAGGGCATCACCCATCACCATATCTCCTCCAAAGAACTGCTAACCCTAACCTGTTACCAGGCACATTTAAAATAAGAAAAAGTGAAAAAACTCAAATTAATTCCACTATGTGTTTCATAATTTCAATTTCATGCCTAAATTATTGCAGGCAGCTGCTAACCCACTAATTAGCCCTGAGGTCACATGTTTTCCCCACAATATAACTTCTAAACAAACATAGGTCATAAAAATAACAAGAACAATTTCGATTGAAAATTAAGTCCCTTGACACTGAAAACTTTTATAACTCCAAATTGAATTTCATCTTTTTGTTATGCAATGTCTTTTCATTTAGTACCCTAAATTTTACACTTCCTCTTAGAGCAGGTTTCTCAACTTCACCACTGCTGCCACTTTGGGCTGAATAATGTAGTGGGAAATTGTACATTGTATTGTAGGGTTGCCTAGCAGCATCCCTGGCCTCTATCCACTAGGTAGTAGCACCATCCCACCAATCAAAAATGTCTCCAGATATTGCCACATGAGCCCTGGAGGGCTAAACCACCCCTACCTGAAAATCACTCTCCTAGAAAAATGTCAACAAATAACCAACCACATGTAGCCTGTGCTAGGGACTCACATGCAGAAGTGAAGGTGACTCAGAACTTTGTAAGGAAGGGGAGGCCAGAATAAAATAGTTGTGAAACATGGTAGAAATATTGTAATTGAAGTATTTCTCAGGCTCCATGAGGAAGACATCAGAGAAACAATAAAGCTAGGTGGGGCACAGGAGAAGGAAAGAAGAAAGGAGCTGCATTTGAATCAGTGTCCACCACCTACAGCTGAATGCTAAGTGTAAGTTAATTAGGCAGAGAGGAGAAAATACATTTTAGGGGAAAAGAACAGGAGGACCACAAATATGAGGCCTGAGAGAACAGAGCACACGCAGGAAAATCTACAAGCAGCAGCAAGAGAGAAGGCTGGAGATGGGCCTTGCAAGACCACAGCAGAGCATTTGGGTTTATTCTGAAGCAGTGAGTGAGCCACTGACATTTTTAACAGGGGCTAAGAAAATCAGATGTTAATATGGAATGATCATCCAAACAACATTCTGAATATACTCTAATATGGGAGAAGAAGGTACTCAAGCCTGCATGTAGGGAAAGCAGCTAGCTAGAAGGCTCTTCCATAATCAAAGCAAGACATAATGAGGATGTGAATAGCAGTGGGAATAGAGAGGTAAACTTGAAAAAAAATGAGAAAAGAGATAAAACAACACTTGAAGACTCTCAGATGTTAGAAATGAAAGTGAAGGGCTGGCTGAGTGGCTCAGTTGGCTAAGAACGTGAGCTCTGAGTAACAGGGTCACCAGTTCGATTCCCACATGGGCCAGTGAACTGCGCCTGAGCTGAGCTGCCGCTGCGCTGCCAACAGGTAGCAGGATGGCTCAGGTGGCAAGAGCATATGCTTCTAACAACAAGGTTGCCAGTTCGACTCCCACATAGGATGGTGGGCTATGCCCACCCGCAACTAAGACTGAACACAGCATCTTGAGCTGAGCTGCCAACGGGCGGCCGGATGGCAACTAGACTTGGAGCTGAGCTACCTGCGCCCTGCACAACTAAGACTGAAGGACAACAACTTGGCTGTTTCCCTTCCCCAACTCCCCAACAATGTTCCCCTTCCCCAATAAAATCTTTTTTAAAAAAAAAAGGAAGAAAGAAATTAAAGTGAAGACAGAGTCAAAGAAGACCCCACGCATCTGGTTTGGGCAACAAGAAAAAAGAGGTACATTTAACTAGAATGGGAATTCAGGAAATACATCTGGAGAGGCGTAGTTGCTAACACCAAATTTGATTTTCATATGTTAATGTTTTAATACCTATAGAATAACTGAGGTAAAACTAACCAATAGGCAATACCTCTATGGGTCTTGAGTTTTAAGAAAGTAATATGGGATGGAAATATAACTTCAGGAATCACAGAACAGAAACAGTGCATGAAAGTATGAGTGTTAGGGAACTATGCATGGAAATTATGTAAAAATAAGAAGAGATGGTCCAGATTGGAATCTTAGGAATACCATCAACATTTACGCTGTATTCAGGTGAGAAGAGACAGAAGTGTTTTGGATTTGAGAAAAAAGATATTGCACAGATATAAGAAATCCATGGAATCTTGAATATAATGCACTTTGAAGAATAAATGGTGCAAAATGTTACAACAAATTTGGAAAACAGTTTGGCACTTTCTCAGAAAACTAAACGTATTCCTACCAGACAATCCAGCAATCACACTCCTTGATATTTACCCAAAGGAATCGAATACTTATGTCCACATAAACACCTGCATGTGCCTGTTTATAGCAGCTTTATTCACAATCATCAAAACTTGCAAGCAACCAAGATGTTCTTCAGTAAGGGAACGGATAAACTGTGGTACATTCAGACAATGGAATATTACTCAGCACTAAAAAGAAAAGAGCTTCCAAGCCATGAAAAACCATGAAGGAATCTTAAATGCATATTACTAAGTGAAAGAAGCCAATCCAAATAAGCTATATACTGTATGATTACAACTATATGACATTCTAAAAAAAGGCAAAACTATGGAGACAGTAAAAAGGTCAGTGGTTGCCGGGGTGGTGGTGGTGTGGAGAGGTAGGGTAAATTAGTCAGAGCACAGAAAACTTTTAGGGCAGTGAAAATACTGTGTATGATGGATATACTCATATGTCATTATACTTGTGTCCAAACCCAAGAAATATAAAACACCAAGAATGAACTATAAAGTAAATTATGGATTTTGGGTGATTATGGCGTGTCAACATAAGCTTAGCCTTGGTAAAAAAAAAATGTACTGTTCTGGTGAGTGATGTTGATAATGAGAGAGGCTATGCATGTGTGGGGGCTGGGCATATATGGCAAATCTCTATACCTTCTTCTCAATTTTATTGTAAACCTACAACTGCTCTAAAAAAATAAGTTTGTTTTCTTTTAAAGGAATAAATGGAAGGTGAAGTGCAAATAGGAGACCTGAATAATTCTTTTACGAAGCTTGGAGATGTGTATTTTATTTTCTTTCAAAGATAGAAAGGACAGCATAAAAAGACACATTTGCTTGGCTACACACAACTATCAAAGTAGGTGAATGGAGGTCAATGGTATGACAAACTTGAAGTTAAAATCATGAAAACGTAAGTATACTCCAGACTCTAGGGTGTCCTCCAACCATAACCACAAAATCCAAAAGAATTTCCTCAGTGAAGAATTGAATAGCAGTAAGATTGGTAAGGTTTTATAGAAGCTTAGGTAGTAATCTCAAATTTTTTACCATCAATCCATGACACAATCAATTTTAGGTAGCGTTGGTTTAGGCAGTCACTTTTTTAATGAGTACTAATTAATGTATAAGATTATATTGAATGCCTACTACCCACATGGTGTCTAACCTGCTATAGTTAATACAAAGAAATTTTCAAGTCTATCGTTTCTCTTGTATACTTACAATCTTTCAAAACTGGAAAAAAACTAAACTAAAAATACAAGGCAATTTATGGATAATTCCAGATATGCTGTCCATGCAGCAAATATAGGAATTGAGAAGAAAGATCACTTGGGGCAATAGTAGCCTAGAAAGTCTTTAACCAAGAAAGGCAGAGTTTGACCCTAATATTGTTTCAGGCTCAGCCCTACCCCTTACTAGCAGGTTACCTTAGACAAT